CGTTGCATTTACATTTACTTGGGTTGCCGACATCGGTGGTCTGTTGCTGTCGCCTTTGAAGCTAGCACTCATGGCATTTTCATCATCTGTCACTCTCCTATACAGTAGCACTTAGCTATATTCATATTATACCGTCTTTCAATTTATGTAGATTCTCCCTATGGTTTAACTCGATCCATACCCACTCTAAATGAGAGGCCATCGCATCCACCAGTTACAGCCACCTGCGCTGCGCGTTCAGCTTCATTTCGCACGACAACGCTACCTTGCTGTAATCCAGCAGCGTCCTGCTGTCTATGTCAGCAAAGTTGACCGCACCACTGTTGAAGGAAGGGCTACCACAGATTGGCCCGTCGTCAGGTCCCTCTTCGCCAATATCTCCTGTTCTACTGACTAGCCCAGTCCGCTTGAGGTCGCTATCCGGAAACTATGCTTCCAAAATCCCAGTTCTGGTCGGAAATTCTCTAAGATCTCAATCCTTCCCCTTTTATTCCGATTTTGGGGACGAACCAGATTCTTTCGAACAGGATGCCTCGCTTCGCTTTGCAGACCCTAAGCCCACACTGAAGGAGTTACACGCGGATGGTCATAAAATGAACCAGGGTATCGATGGGGAAGACAGTGGTCTTGGTGACAATGCTGAAGTATGGGACGAATATTGGACAGAAGCAAAGGAATGCGACCGAGAACTTATCAACGAGCTGAATGGAAGTTTAGATGTTCTGTTGATATTCGTTGAGTACTTCCTTCATAGCATAGAGCCTTATTCTCATATCATGATCTAGGCTGGTCTGTTCTGTGCTGTTCTAACCGCACTGCTCATTGAATCATATAAGATGTTGATACCAGATAGCCAGGATCAATCACTGGCAGTTCTACAAGGCATCCTTGGGGTCTTGAGTAACTCCACGGCTCAAATCCAAGTGCCATATAATAAAGCTGGCTTTACTCCGTCTTCAAGCGCCGTGCGGGTAAATGCGTTATGGTTTGGCTCCTTAGCTCTGACGCTGGGTGTCGCAGTGCAAGTGATGCTAGCCAAACAATGGCTTCATAAATATGGAGAAGGTGAGGTGCTACCTTTCTTAGTTTTCAATTTGCTGAACACCCCTAGGGATGTCTAATGTGCCGCGACTTCGCGCGCAACTCAGGCAATACCGCTATGACAACTTGCGTCGATGGGCTCTTCCAGAGATGGTGAACTTTCTACCTACTCTGTTGCACCTTGCATTGGCGTCGTTCCTGTTGGGGTTGATTGACTTTCTTTGGACTATTAATTACTTTGTGGCAATCGTGACTTTAACGATATGCCTCATTTTTTGGGGCTCTCTATCTATTGATCATGATACTTCCACATATCTACACCGACTGTCCTTACAAAACCCCTTTCTCTCGTCTCCTGGGGCTAGCGTATTATCACTTCCGTCTGGCTATCTATAGGGCTGATCAAGAAATCGTATCTCTACCTAAGCATGTACCTACGGAACAAGCAGAATTCCAAGCAACCCAATGGCGTCGAGATACTCTCCAGGCAAAGGCTTTGGCTTGGCTCATGACACGATCGAGAAATCCACTGGTCATCAACAAAGTAGCACAGTCACTGGCAAGCCTTACCTCTGACTTTACTGCAATATCCATACTCCGCCAGGCAGGGGCCATCCAGCGCGTAGCCGAGCAATTTCTCTCCTGTTTTACCGAAAACAGGCCACTCGGGGACAACGGAGAAGTCATGGTCCAGTTAAAGTTAGACGTAGAAAAGAGTGAAGAAGCAGGCTTGTATGCGAGAGCGCTGGTCGGACTGACAGAAGGATTACCGGCCTCTCGATGGCCTCAAAAGCCCCCTCGCGATCTGAATCTTTATGCGGATGCACTAGATTCAGCTCTAGGGGTACTTATCTCACAGACAGACGATGCTGAAGTCGTTGCATTCGCTGTCGCTGCCCGGGAGCACATTTTTCGGGCAGGTCGAAACAGATTCCCTAATGGCCAAGCCCAGAATCCCACTCACAGCCTGGGAGACCTGCTGGAGATCACGATAAAAATTGCAGAAGATGATCTTATTCCCGGGATCAATGGGGTTGTCTGCATAATGAATACTATTCGTCGATGCGCAGAAGCTACAGCATCAGAACAACGATTTACTATGTGGAAAGAGTTTGCCCAATCATTATTGCAGATTCTGGCCGACACGCCACCCAATTGCAGGGTAAGAGATGCCTTATCGAAGTGCATTGCTTGTCTTGGTGGGCTAAGCCATCAGAGAGATTACTCTGATGGTAACGATCCCACCGAACATCGTTTGATCTTTGCCCTATCAAGACTACTCGTAATATGCGCGCAAAGGTTGAATGATGATGAGGAATTGGCCAACAATATTGCTGAAGCCCTGCGTGTAATCCTTAATGATTACAGCCGCTCATTTGTTCACGCAATTCGCCCACTTGGGGAAGCACTCTCGATGGTACTGCCATTGATGATATCATCCAAATCCCCTGTAGTTAAGGATTGTGTCCTGACTATGGTGCAGTTTGCGGATTACGCGGACCTTCCACGAGACTCCTTCTCAGGAGTCATGGACCTTTTAAAGGACTCGATGCAAGTCGAGCTTCACCCTCGGCTTGTTCAAGTCCTTCAGAGACATCTACATCATCCTGAAGTGATGCCTTATCTGGCGGAAACCACCATCTTTGAAAATGTGATAGGTCTTCTCTCATCTAAAGATGTGGGAGTACAGACTTTCATCTCCTCTTTCCTTTTGGAGACATGTAGTCTTAGTCTACGAGCAGGCGGAAAAGCGGCACAGCGAGGAGCCCTCGATCCCTTGATCAAGGCTGGTCTCCTCAATGGATTGAAGGACTACTTCTGGCACTTATCTGCCATTGTCTCTTCAGATAGAACCGCCTCCCCGATATTCGAAAACGAAGATGCATGGATACCCCGCCTGTTGGCTCTACTAGATCTTTATCCCCGAGAGGTAATGGAATGTGAAATTATGGAGGCATGTACGATTTTGTTCCAGCATAACGATGAAGGTGGGAGGAATTTAAAGGAATGGTGGCACCGATATACTGAGTGGAGCACTCGAGGAAGTAAGGGTCCTAAACCAAGACCCAAAGGTCCATTACACCGTAGACAGGTTGTGTAACGATGAAAAGATGGCTCTCAATGACGAAATGATTTGCTTTTTTGAATTCGTTCCATATCGACCTGCCGGTTTAGTTGTTGGGGAGCTGTTTTCAAGGTAAGTGTTCCATTAGGTCTCGTTGAGCTTCCTCTTCTTGCGGCCTGGCCCATCATCGGTTTCATATGGTTGGTCTTGCTTGATAACAGACGACGCTATCTGATCTAGAATATAAAATGCTCTGACGAGTTCAGGTCCAACCCTCTGGAATTGCTCGGTTGTGGGTCCTACAGTCGAGTCGGAAAGATCACCCTGTCGTTGATCGACACCTAAGGGTGGAAATGGGGGATTTTGTTGCATAACATCACCTGCATCTGTCTGACCAACTTCGTTGGCTGAAGATGATAGGGTGCCTAAATGTGGGGGTTTGTTCTTGTCCTCGAGAACATCTCTTAGATGCTTTGACTTGTTATGAGCGGCAAGGAGTTGTATTTCTAGATCACCAATAATCGTATCCTTTCCCTTTATGTCGTTCCTTAGTTCAAGAATGGTTTTGTCTGCGCGATGTAGTTCCTCCTGCATATTTATATGCTTGTCGTGACCGCTTTTCTGTTGATCGAGGATAGCTTTGAGCCTCCGAGTTTCCTGCTGAGCAGTCTCGGATTCTTGACGATAGCGGTCCCTCTCTTGTCTAATTCGGGTCAGGTCCGCAAGCGCAGACTCTAGAGAGGAACGGATGTTGATGTTGCTTTCGTAGGCGTTCCTCAGCTCCCCGTACAATCGTGATACATCTGCCTTGAGGTGATGAAAGTTTGGTACTGACGACAAGATTGTGTCCTGAGGATGCGCGCTCGTGCCCATGACGACACTGGGTGTTGGTAGAGTATGGGGTGGCATTCGCTGCACAAGGGATGGGGTATTTTTGGGGTCATATGAGGATGGTTGGTTCTCTGATGGTAAAAACGGATTACGTGGCTCAGGTTCAGAGACTGTAGCCTTTGCTGAATAAGGGTTGGGCGTGGTGGATCTCATTTTGCCGTTGGGCACCCCGATTCCTGTCGCCTTTAAGGTTAAAGCAGGTGAAAGAGAGCTTGAGTTAGTGTATGAAGGGGGTAGTTCGTAACGTTTGAGCACAGTTCGGTTTACTGGCTTGATCGGCAACCGAGAAGTCAACTCGTTCTTGATGCTTAACACGTATTGTGCAGCTTCTGGATCCTCGAATGTCACGAATGCATGGTCGTGTTTTGCAGACTTCCAGAACTGGACTTTTAGACTAGGACAAGTCAGTTTGCGCATAATTGGACGAACTGCCACCTACATCTTCCCAAACTCGCTTAGGTGATCTTTAACAATTTCCTCATCGACATCGCTATCAACACACTCTAGACTGATTATACGTGAGGTTTCATAGAGGGAAAGCCTGGCCATTTTGGGAGTAGGAAGGAGTCAGGTGGGTCCAAACAACGAATTGGGTAGTGCGCTAACCGCGTTCATCAAAAGCAACAACACGATCTGGACGTTTAAATATTGCTGTAAAATCAAGAAAATAAGTCATGTCAGAAGCATACGGTGCGCTTTATTGCTCTAAAACCAACCTTTTCCTAACGTGTTTCTAGACGACCGAGGTAAATTATTTTCGTTTTCTCTTGGGTCCCGAGTCCATCGTGAGCTCATGGCACTCTCTGCCATGTCCTTTTCTAGCTAGCTAGCACGTACAGGATGAATGCACTCCTTGGCCGTATTCTATATTGACCGAACTATAACACGTTTGTCCAAACGCTTACTATCCCTTTTGCCATATCCTCCCTCTGACAGATCGACGCCACCGCTCTCCGCGGTATCATGACCGGGATCGTCGGGACAGGAATGACCGAGGTGAAGACCGTTACAGGAGAGACGACCGCAGGGATGACAGACGCTCTCACCGAGACAGGGATCATAGGGATCGTGAGGACCACCGTGACCGACGTCGACATGATGATGACCGTGGATACAAGCGTGGAGACTCTTATAAGGACTCCAGAGACGACCGCGGGCGCAGAGAACAAAGGGAAAGGTCTCCTCACGAGCGCCGGTCTCCAACTCCTCCCGGCATCGTTCCCCTTTCACAAAGAAGACGGAAAGCATCTGGTTGGGATGTAACTGCTCCTGGATATGAGCAATATTCAGCTATGCAGGCGAAACAAACAGGTACGGTTACGGTTTTTTCCTTTTGGCCCAATTCTCAACGTCATCCAGGTCTGTTCAATCTTCCTGGAGCAAATCGTAGCCATGGGCCTCAAATTATTGGCTTTGGACAGCATCCTCCTGTCGCCGGCAGCATCACTAGCAACACTAATTTGGCAAGACAGTCTCGTCGTCTTTATCTTGGTAGTATCACTCCGATGGCCGACGAAGACAATATAGCACTCTTCTTCAACTCACAAATGAGAGAAAGAGGTCTTGCATCAGGTTCTGGTCAGCCTGTGTTGGCTGTGCAGGTGAACCGTGAAAAGAACTATGCATTTGTGGAGTTTAGGAGCGCCGAAGATGCCACCGCAGGAATGCAACTTGATGGTACCGTTTTCCTAGACGGCCCTCTCCGTGTCCGTCGTCCCCACGACTATGCAGGACCAGAAGCCATGTCAGGCTTCGCAACGTTATTGCCATCGACTATGCCAGATTCTGTCAATAAGATCTTTATTGGAAATCTTCCTCTGCACCTGACAGAGGATCAGATCGTCGAGTTATTGAAGAGCTTTGGAGATTTGAAGGCATTTAATCTCGTCAAGGACCATGCCTCTGGACAATCAAAGGTATGACTTGAGATTAATATACAAAAACCGGTCGTTGATAGTGTCTAGGGCTTTGCGTTTGTGGAATATGTAGACCCTGCTGTTACTGACATCGCAACCGAAGGCCTCAATGGTATGGATCTAGGTGACAAAAAGTTGATTGTACAGCGCGCCTCAATCGGTGCTAAGGGTGCATCCTTCCCAAATTTACCACCAGAGGCAGTTCAAGAGATTCCCGCGCCCATTGTACCTGTCGATCTCAACAAAGAATCTGGTGGCCGAATCCTCTTGATGCTGAACATGGTGGTGCCCGAGGATTTGATCGACGATGGTGAATACAAAGAAATCATGGAGGACGTACGGGATGAGTGTCAAGCCTTTGGTGAAGTAGAGGAAATCAAGATTCCAAGGCCAGTAAGGAGAGACAAATCAAAATGGGGGTCTAGTGATCTCAGTGGCATCAGTGCTGCTGATGCTGCCAAAGCTGACGAAGCTACTGGAGTAGGAAGAGTTTACATCAAGTTCCGCCACGCTGAGAGTGCCGCAGAGGCTCTTCGTCAACTAGCAGGCAGGTCGTTCGCTGGGAGAATTATTATCGCCACGATCATTTCTGACGATGCAAATGTGACTCCTCCCTTGTCCATAATCTTTGGGTAGTGACTTTATGTACCGCTAACAGCTTCGCGTCAAGTTTACTCGGTTACATTGGCTCAAACCATTTAAATACTGTGATAATCATGTGATTGAACATAATACATCACTTGTTTTCTGTGCTCGTTTCTGTACCGTCCTTCTTGTAACGCTCCGCATAGTCACCGTGGTGGGGATGATTGACCAAGTTGAACCTACAAGCAGCAGTATTAGTATACACTAGAAAGGTCCTAAAGGTCGCCTCACCATGGTATTACAGAGAAGAACAACTGCGAATGCCGAGAGTTCGCGACTGCAACTTGCTGCATGTGCTCTGGCTGATTGCTATGACCATATAGAGGTTCTCCAGCTGCAATTTTCTTGGTCATATCTATTCTATCTAGCTCTTGCTCTCGACTATTTTCCGTCCAGCCCCAGAATCGTTCTACTAAATGTTAGCAAAGAGCTGGTGAATGACATTTTTGACTGACTAGAAGAATTCTGGTACGCCATGAGAAAACCTCCTATAGCACCAAGACTTGCACCGAAGATATAGACCTTCCGTAACTGTGGTGTAGGCATTGCAGGAAGGGGGTCGAAACGGCCTAAATTCCACTTAAGCATGTAGGCCACACTGGATAGGTAAAACGTACCCCATATATAATATGTAGCCGGAAATCCTGCCGTCACAGCTGCCCAAGTGCCATAGTCCCTCGGCCTGAAGTATCGAACAACACGAAATGCATGCGGGTCGGTGTCAATGACCGGATAGCGCGGAGTCCCATTCACAGGACCATCGAAGATACCCGGCATAATTTTCTAAATATTATTTCAACCTGTAACAAAATTTTGGTGCAGATTGAGCGAACAGCCAATATCGTTGTCTTCCAGGTGGTCCTTGCTTTGTCTCAACTTACTTTCCAGCCGCGTTTTCCCCTCCACCTCATAAAATGGCCTCCATGCACCGCGCAGACGCAAGACGCGGGGCTAGAGCGGATCGACGACATGATTTACAGGCTCCTTATGGCCCAAAACCAACACAAAAGAAGGTGAGACATTTTGGTTCCCATGGTCTTTGTTGTGCGCCCTGCTGATCCTCTAAAAGCCCCAAAAATCATCTCGCGGAGGGTTGTGGAATTTTATAAAATCTTGGTCATTTTTTACACCAGACGAAGATGTCGACATGACCAGCGATGCTGATTCAGATGACGGCCCTCCAGCCCCTGGCGCATGGTCGGCGTATCCTGCATATTATACCACCTCATCTTCATCTGAAAACTCTACATCTGGTAATGAGGAAGGATCAGCCACCTCAGCACCTTCAAATAGTTCATCTCCAGTCACCTCTTCCAATCGCAATTTACATCCTCAAAGGGTCAGTTACGCTACAAAATTGAATCACTTGCACATAGTCTAATACTCAACAGGCATTCGAAAACGTAACCTCAGTGTCCAATGCACCAGGAGCGTCGCAACCCAAAGACTCCGTGGCCGTCACTGTCCATGCCTCAACATCTAGCCAAGCAAGTGAAAACACACAAAACGTACACGAATCGGTGCAGCAGCAGGTGGCAAACTTCCTATTGAGTAAAGGAAATGCACCCTTGACCCTTAAGGAATTCGAACAGATAAGGAACACCCTGCGATCGATGGTGCATAAAGGTATGTGCAATGATGGTATTTTCCCGAATTGTGATAACACCCCTCGATTTTTCTAGATGCAATCCCTGGTGATTTGTCCATTCTTTGTCCTACTGATTCAAAAGATGGAAACACTACCCAACATCTTAACTCGAAGCCGCTTGAAGAATCATCCCAAACAACGGGCAAAACCGACGATCCGAGCAAGCAAAGGGCCAATGTGTCTGAGGCTGATGACCAATCCAGTCCAGCTGTCACTTCTAACGGCCTTCCACCCTTTCGATTAGGAGAAAGTGATGGTACACCTCCTCCAGAAACATCAGACCCACCTTCTGCCGACACTTCACAGCTCCTTTCGGATGAAGAGAGAGAAGAGGCTGAATATAGGGCGAGATTAGAGCAGCGGAGTAATGAATTGAGGCAACTCTTGAACATCGATGAAATTTATGAACCTGGGGCTTGGGAGGAGCTTATACGATACAAAGGGGTCAAATGTATGTCAAAAGGGTCGGACGCCTTCTTTCTTACTCACCTTCCACTAGTTCCAGGCTCCTTTAGTACACAGAAAGAGCAGGTTGACCACAGCGATCAGGAGGTGATTGATGATTCACAAACGAACACGACTGAGGCAGAAGAAGAAGGTGTGAAGAAAGTCAAAGATCCCAATGAGGTTTGCTTTTTGTGATATGAGCTTGAATCCTGCTCACAACTTAGCAGGGATACACTCCGGAAGAAATAATGGTCAATCCATACGAGCGAATAAGTGCTTTCAAAGGTCGAAAACGCAGGCCAATGTCCTACTATTTGAAAAACGGGAAGCAACCAAATACATCGCGTCAAGGGCAGTCTAAATCCACTGTGCCTACTGAGCATCATCAGGATACACAGAGAGGCGCCGCGACCGAGGGCCCAATGGTTTGTGTTCCTTCTCTGCGTTGAGTCTCGTCACTGATTGTCGCATAGGCGGCACCAACAATCGGTGGACAAGTCGCCCACTCTGCTCTGGGTGCTTTGCATAGTCTTACTACCCTAAATCACAATGTTCCAAAATCGTGGGTTAGTGCGCCTACTCGTGACCCTCCTCCAGAGGTTAGTAAAGGAACTACGGACAAAGGAAGGCAATTCGAGTCCCTGGGCAAACGAAAGAGTACATTTCTCATGATAGAGAGTGAGGGACAGGTTCTGGATGGCCCAAATGAGCGCAAAACAAAGCGACGTAGACCAAGTGCTGACGACAATGAGATGGAAGTTGAGGAAGACGAAAACCTTCAAAACGTACAGGTTGTAGGCGATATGATTGATGAAACACCTGAACCTCCGGTCCCCCCACCAATTCAGGTATCGCCTCCCAAGAAGGCTTCCCAAAGACGACGACCATCTATTCGTCCACCCGATGGCATTAGACCAAAACACTTTCAGCACTCGCCTATCAATCCCTCACCTCTGCGTTTCATGTCCAAACTGACACCTGATAGCCCGGAAACGCCACCAGCGGAAATAATACCCGAAGCTGATCCACAGGATCAAGCGGGTATTACCGAAGATGGCATACCGGCATACAGATTCTTAGGGAGTCTGTACAGGTTAAGCGGTGTCGGACCACAGCGCACATCGAGGGCTATGATGACGGCCAAGCAGAAAGCTGTTGGGTTCAAGCCATACTATCTCCCCGACTTCCTTATCGTCAAAGGAAAGCATCCCCATTATGAGGTGAGAACATCCATCTACGACCAGACGTTATCTCTAATATATATATCATTCACAGACCACCGGTATCCTGCGGGTGTCCAGAGCCTCTAGCACCTCCCGACGATCTCTATCGCCTTCTAAAGCACTACCGAAGCAAACGCCCGTCCCCAAACCTTCCAGTCAACCCACGCGACCTGGTGTGAACCACTCACACTCCAAGGTAAATGGAACCAAGGATCCCCATCCTACTGATTCACCTATACACGTGTCAAATAAGCTAAAAATACCATCGGATCACATCTCGAAACGACCTTCGTCGCACACGAAAACTGGCAACCTGTCCAATGGACACGATAAAACCGCTTCCAAACCTTC